CCATCTTGACTGGCTGCCAAGAATATATGATCTCCATCAATGACAAGGCCTTCAGGGGATACTGTCACTGTCGAACCTTCATCCCTCTTCTTCATTGTGTATTCTTTGATGGTGCTGGTTTAACTGTTTGTTCCGTACACTGTTTGCCAGCAAACCCCGTGTACACATGATCGTTTCTTTCGCTCTTCCATTCACAAACCTATGAGAGACTGCTCTCTAGTTAAAAAATCGACACCTCGAAGTTCGTCATTGGTCAGTGAAATGTGGGTGGAGAGGTACTGCCTACATTCCTTTTTGGACCAACATTTGTTTAATTGCCATTGGAAGTAATTCAATTTAGGTTAATATTATTAGTATTAGATAGCAGTTTGATGGTATGCACATATGAGCCCTGACTGACCCCCAGGGGCTGCTGGGTGGGGCCAAAAAGGGTTGAATTGATTGAAATTTCAAAAATCTTCTTCTCAAGACCCAGATATGGTAGAATCAAATACTCTTCATAGATGGAAGGGTCTTAAGGTGCTTTACCAAATTTGTGAATTTCATGACCCTAGGGTCTCGCGTTTCCCCGTGGGGAGGGGGTAAACTTTACTATAGTTTTTATTGCTAACAATGTCAGTGCATAGTGTTATCTTTAATTAAAAGTAGTAGAATGGATCAATATTATGTTTTGAGCAAAGAGGAAACGTGCAACCATGATAACGTTCATATTAGTAGTTTTCTATAGCAAGCTGTGCTACCAACAGCTGTTTCATAGGCCAGACTTTCCTTTTCGATGAAGGCTCCTGTTTATAAAGATTGTTATGACGAATATTTTATAAATTTATATAGCAAAAATAGACATTAACTTGATGTTGAAAGATCACTTTTTAACATACTAAAATGCACTGTAACAAAAAAGGCATAAATGGTTAAAAATAATAGCATTTAACATTCGGAGAGACATATATGATAAATATACTCTTTTACATTATTTGTGTGTGAACAAATATAAAATATGGAGGTGACATAGGTATGAGGACTATTCAACCCCTGACGGATGGGTAAGCCTGAAAGCTTTGACATAGGGTGACTCTTGCTGTTTATTTTACTATTTTGTTATCTTTTTACAAAATGCAAATCATTAAACGGGTTCATTACGGTATATTTAAGCATTGAACTGTTTTTGTATGGTATTTATGATCTATTTGAATGACACAGCTTTGCAAGCAAACAACATAATGCGGGCTAGCGCATTATGATTTGTTTGCTTGCAAAGCTGTGTCATTCAAATAGATCATAAATACCATACAAAAACAGTTCAACACTTATATTTACATTTTCTCAGCCTCTTATGTTCTTTTTTAACTTATAATTTATATTCAAAATTAAAAATGCCCGCCTTATCGACAGTTCACACAATTCCGTTCAATAGTTTGAACAGCGTATTGTCGCGTGCTGATTGGCAAACAAATTAGTACTTTGAAATATTAACAAACACTTCAATTTTATTCCACAATTCAGTATCAATACAATTGCGTATGATATGTCTATAGGGTGATTTAAGTTTATCAATAGAACTCTGAGCTGAAAGTTGGATTTGAAATTGTTTCGATTTTCCCCCGGAACAAATTTCGCGCATGGACAAATACAGTGAACACCGTATATCCGACCTTGCCCTCCACGAAGGAGTTATTTTTGGACTTTAATTCGAACTTTAATCTTTGCTCATTTTGTGAAGAATCCAGGCGTGAATGTATTTGTTGATTGTATGAGAACCTGACAACAGTCAGTAGATTAAATAACGGCCTCGTTATTTGAAATGTCGTCAGAAACTGAGGAATGGTGGATGCGAGACGCGTGAAACTGATAGCGTTTGAAGTGAGTGATCTTGCGACGGAGCACAGGTTCGTTACAAATGTCTGAAATGTTTATGTGTGCTGTGACTCATATCAGTAGGTCTGTAACATATGTGTCAGTAGGTCTATAGAATATGTGTATTTCAGACATTTGTAACGAACCCCTGTTGATCAGTGCAGTGTAACAGACGATATTTCTGATAAATTGCATGAGCGTTAAAATTGTTTCCATTGCCGGCATTGGTGATTTCAACCGATGTGCATTTTGTACGATATTGCAGACCTTGGTCTTGTTTTCGTTGTAATAAAAGTGTTTTTTATTTTATTTTTTATTTTGCACATAAATTTACAATGACATTGTCAAATCTCACAATGCCCAGCGATATTTCAGCAGCCGTCATGTTTATTTATATTGGATATTGTAGTTCCGGTCAGTGTTGTATTAATACGCTAAGAATTGTGTCTCGTGATGCATGGTAATTAAAGTCCCATCAACGACACAGCTTTCAAAGAGGCTATATAGTGACAATGCCATGCAAATGTAAATATAAAGCATTTCATTTACTATTTGCAATAATGAATTTAATGATAGAATACACAAAGTATCGCTTACTAACAAACGATTCGTAAAAAGGAAACCAAAACAAAAAACTGAAAACTGAAAACCTAACATTTTTTAACTTTAATAACATAAGCACAAATAAACTAAAAAGATATGCAATTCGCTTTGAAGTAGTACATAAATGAATCAATGAATGACAAAGCACTAGTTTACTACACATGATCAATAATGATGCCATTGAGAAAACTACCACAAAAGGAATGAATAAGGCAAGAAAACAATGGAAAAACATTATGAACGCCAAATAAATTCTTCATTTCAAAACGATTGCCTCGTTTGCTTGCAATACAACCACAACATGAGGACTGTACACGGATCCTGATAAATTAGTTTTGGCTGTTTGTTTTCTTTTATCCCTATCAGTACCAAAGAGGCAATTATAATTACATCGTCTAAGGTAAATAATTCATTCATTCTTAACATTTATGATCAACGAGACTGGAGGTTTACAACTTGCTGTAAAATACGCGTATAACGATTCTCCTGTAGAGCGACACCACGTCCAGATGAAACTCTGTTAATCCCAGTACAAATAACATTCTGCTATTGTCAACACGTCTGTAGCCCTTTCACGGCCATCTATTTAACATTACAGAGAGTTCCTTTCTTTAATAATATAATACTATTTAAAGATAACTTCTTAATCATTTTAGTTTAAAAACTTACCTTATTTTCCCGTCAAATGCATATGATAATTTCCAAGTACAGTACACATAAACACATATTCCTACGCAAAAATAATCTGTTCAAAAGCCCCGTCTACTTAAAATCAAAAGGATGACGGAGAAAAGGATATCTGCTGTAGATATTAACGTGCGATAAATATTTTCATATGACGAAACACGAGTCATACTGAAACGTCACATACATACATGTTATTTAAATCTTTATACACAAACTAATTTATTGAATTATATGACAACCTTATTTTTTTGCTATAAAGTAAAACACACAGAAGCATTTAAATAAATAATCATGAATCACTCAATTGTCCATGAAGAATAAACATTTAGTGTTTATAAACAGAACGATATACCTTTTCAAGCAGATAAAGGAAGCCATGATCCGTGACTTCGAACATGTAACAACTCTGTGTACATACCCGTATAGTGTATCCGAATCGACGTCATTTTTATATCGCCAGATCGCATATTCTACACCTGTTTACATACGCTTCGCTGCTCAAGTTTATAATGAAGGTGACAGATAACGTACCTTACTAGTCATCGAAACGTCACTTTTAACATTCACTGGTTGTGATGAATAACCATTCTACAACTCATACTTACCAACCTGTATAAAATATTTTGAAAAAATAGATATAAACTATTAAAGCAGTGATCACGTGATGCAATGATAATAATATATACAGTCGAACCTCGTTATTTCGAAGTAGTCGGGATCGTGGAGAAATTCGAGTTCAGCGAGTTCCCATGTTTGGTATGATTTTGTGTACATTTCAAATGTGTCACCAATTCACTACCTAGTTACTCCCCTCCCATCTTAATTAAAGACAATGTAAGGGGTTATAAATTCCTACTTCCAGCTTATTATAAGAGCCATAATTAACATTATGGCTCTTATAATAAGTCGATGAAAGAAGAAAGATAGTTTGAAACATCCTAATAGTTTTATTCAATAGAGAGGTGTCTTGAAAAATTTTGCTTCCGGCTTTATTTCTAAATATATTGATAGCAGAGACTGTTTGTTTCTTTACGTAAATCAATACGATGTGGTAAATTCCAGATAATCAAACATATCTTATAACTACTTTTCATAACAATAGTTTCATTCGAGATGGTCGCATGAACAAAATGGACCTTGAAAGTAACAAGTGTATGTTTATAAGGAATAAACAAATTATCATTAACATCCGGTTTTCAAATAGTCAAACCTATCTAGTGATGACAAGTAAAAGAGCTAAGCAGTTGTTCCTTTGGCTTAAGAGTGTACGAGTTTTCATCAGCTTCGTTACGTCATAATGTGCAACAGGTTTAAGTTTTAAATGTTCAAACACTCAAAACTGTACCTTGATACCCACTACATTCCATGCTGAATTCATGTATGTCAATATTCATCGTGCACTTTGAGTACAAAATGTTATTAATTTTAGTCTTAGTATTGCATGTATAGTTCTGTAGCACGCACACAAATCTCCACAGACTTTTACCGACATATGTAACATACATGTATATTATAATTGCCGTATTGATTTCAGGTGTAAATTGATTCAAAGTTTCTTATTAACACGCGCAAGCGAACAGAATAGTTTTAAGATATAGTCAAGCTGTCGAACTGTTCTATCTCACAATTGCTTGGGGACAAAGTGCTATAAAGTGACAAACATTGGTGTTACTGCAACCACAGGAAGATCAGGTTTTGTTGAGAAACTCAGCAGTGAAATTGCAGTGGAATTTTAGTCTGCATGGCCGGATTATCTGTCTATTACGAATGCAGTTGTGAATGCTGATAGCTATTCTATTACTTTAATATCAACACATTTTGGTACTCGTGATATCACGTGTGGTTCTACACTAGAATGGACTGGGGCTTATTTAGTTTGTTGTAAGAACGGATTCACCGATGACCAGGCCACACAAATGATGTATAAAATAATTTTGCAAAATAAGATACACACCGATGCGTTAGGTCTTTGTGTTGGTTAAGGGTCCGTACTTGTAAAAGTTAATACCACGAAAAGGATGGAGGTGTTGCGAGGATATCTTTTGGATAGGGAATATTACTCAGATGCAAGCGATCGTGCCACAGAAGGTTACTGGACCTTTTCGGACGGAAGTGACGTATATATGAAGTTGTTTAGTCCTTACGAGCCAAATGGTGAACGTTCCGACAATTGTGCGATCTCCGGATATGGATATAAACTATATTACACAACATGTAACGCTGAAAGATTTTCACATTTCAATAACTTATATTTATGTCAAGTATAAGCGCCTGAAACCTTTACAAATCGGTTAATCATCTGACCAAAGTTATTCTTTTGAAAAGAAAATTGAGCGAAGGTTAGCGGCACGGTGCCTTTGATGTTAAAAGGACAAGACACATTACCTGATTTCACAGAAATGCAATTTTTGTTACAAAATCTTAATATGTCTCTTTCTGTTTATGTAAGATGTCATTGTCTTTTGATATAAATTCGACAACGTGTAGATATACTGTAAGTAGGCTACGCAGAGTTCTTCGTTTCCGATTCGTTTATGTTTATAATGGCTGTTGTAATTTGAAGGCCTCTGTCGCTCTTCTTAAAGGCAATTACCGATCTGAAAAAGTCAAGAGAATGCATGTTATTTCCAAAACAATACAGAAAAAGGGAAGAAAGCAAATATCGTTCCTGAAAAATTGACATTATGTTACTAACGTTTTGTATATATGCTTGTAATTGAAATTCGCGAGAATACATTGAATTATAGTATATTAAGGTTGTTTCAATCTTAAGACTTTAAATATTGCTTCATCGAAATCCGGAAAATAATATGCAGAATTTGTTTTCATTATATTCTGGAGAAGAAAAAAAAGAAAATATATCAAACATTTTTTTTTATTATTACTGCTGGATGGATATCGAAAATTTATTTCGGGAATTCAGTGATTTATGACTACAAAATGTCATCGGATTTAACAGGTTTTCATGTTCATTCTGAACTGATAATTTCTTTTCATTATGTCTCTTTTAACTTAAATAAATTTGATTTAAATCAATTACGAAAACTTCTGCTCACAGGTACACCACATTTAAATCATGAATAATGGTTTCCTGTATGATGTCAAACTTACACGATACACACGAGAGCCACGAGGTTGAAACCTGCCATGACTACGAAGGTCAATCCATGCATACTGGTCTGAGTATGAGCGTAAATGTTGCTAAAAATGGTAGAACCCGCCATTGTAGAAATCACGCTCAGCAAGTAAACTGCTGCAAACAGGGAGCCTGTTGTGGAAACGTCAAGTTGAGATAGAGATCATAACTGCATATACATGTATATACAATCGTCTTGTATGAGGGAAACATCAATGTTTGTGTCCCAAATTTATTTTCCCCATATTGACAAAAGAAATATGATTAGGTCAGAGATAACAGGTATGCATGTACCCCTCATAACAGGAGAATTCCTTTTGTTTGTCATTCATTTATATAAAAAGAAAAACCGTCATTGAAAGGAAATATAGAAAAATTATCATGTGTTGTATTTTGAAAAAGCGAAGGAAATAAAATGACTTCCAAAAATATCATACATGTACAATTTGTTCAATATCTATAAAGGAATGAGTTATAGGAATACATGTCACAGGATATCAGCATAAAGCAAGCTGTATACATGTGAAAAGTTTCTAGATATACATTACATATTAGTGAAACACATATAATCTTCCTTATCTTAATAAAGACTCGAAAGGCCGTCAAAAAGTTAAATACATCCTTTTTCTTAAATCGTGTGAGCGGGAATCATTAAGAAAGACGCAAGAGTAGAGGGCTTCTAACATCACTTAGACTTAAATTTACCTGAATCGTTTCAAATTACCAAAGAAAGACGTGATTTCAATCCCCAAACAGGATGGTAAAATTGTTGAAATGGTTTTTTTTTCATTTCAATTGTTTTTATTTAATTATTTTGATAAGCATTCTTTGTGTAATTGCAATATTGTGAAAGGTATAGTAGAAATAATTTGAACATCATACGTTGGTTTAATTCAGCAGAAAATGAGATACCATGTTTTGTTATATATAATCAAAAATGTTTTTTTAACATACATAATTATTATTTTCATGTAAACAAAGTCAACTCATGTGCTAAAGTTCTTGGTATTACTCGTCGTAGCGCCTAGGTTTTATCAAAGAAAACATGATGAAATGTTGTATATTTGTCTAATTAATCAACTTCTGGTAAATATATGATAAAATTTATAAAAACAACTGTCATCTTGGTATTATGGCACCTGCGTATACCTTAACATAGTAATCACAAGTTTCGCCCCAACATTCTGTTTTCCTAACATTGAAAATGAATTTAAGAAAGTGCATGAAATGCATCTTTCCACATCAGTATCTTGATTGAAAGCACAAATTGTCCTGTTATGTAACTTGTTGCTTAATCATACACATGAGTGCTAATAGTAAATGTATAGAAAACAATATTTGTGTTTTAAGGACCCAAAAAGTTAGTTGATTCTACTGTATTTTTCGTATATACAGACATAGAGTGATCTCCCCTTAATATTGCTTTATATATAAATGTACTGCGAATGAGACAGGGAACTGCTAGGGATCAGGTAGCATGGAGTCCATACCTTGAAAATCAGGAGGAACCATTTTCGACAGCGACGCTTTTAAACATGGCGGTACAGCCAATATTAAAACTCCAGATGAGGCACCTTCGTATAGAAACACATATTTAGTACGGATATCACTGAGCGAGTCATGGTAATACGTTTCTTTTGAAACTGTTTTTGACCGTTTGGTTGTTAAATATGTGACTCAAGAATCATTTTATGATAACGCTTGTGATAATTGTATCCAGTTCTACATTGTGTTAATGAGTTGGATGCAGATTACGTTGATGTCCAAAACGTAAAATTGGTATGCAAAGGTAAACTGCATTTTCGCCAAAAATTATATTCGCTTTTCACATTCAACTTTTATGCATATTATATTGTTTACAAATGTTCGCTGTATGGATAAATTCGCCCTCAGGAGGGCGAAAATGGCGAAAACTAAGAGTCAGCAAACATTTCCCGATATACAGTATATATATATATACTATATGGGTCAAAGTAGTAATATAGACGGTAAATTTCCCTTATAACACTGGATCCTAATGGAGGTATGTCCGTAGGATACGAATTAATTAAAATATTATATGGGGCAAAGAAGTAATTCCAAATTCCCATATATATATACTATATATATTGTGCTAAAGAATATCATATCAGTAAGTGAAAAACAAACCATGTTTCCATTGAAGATATTTACCAGCATATATCATCCAGTCGGTGACTGCAACTGCAAACATCAAGTAAAATGCCATACCTGACACCATACCAGCAACTGCAATAGTTTCGTCGCTGAAAAACCTCTGTAATATCATTATGAGCAAAGGACCAGCGAGCATATGGATGGCTGACTCGGCCGATTGGAACCATCCGACATATTGGGAGTCCCAGCAAAACGGTGATCTCAGCTCCATCAAAGTTTCTATATCCTCTCGGTTGTCATTTGGCGCGAAGAATAGTAACAAACCTACCATGGATACGACATACACCCACTTAGGAAAGCGATGAATATTTTCTTTGTCGCCGAAAAATGTTTTCAAATTTGTTAAAATATTTCTAATTCCAGACCTAGTAATTTCAATCTCATCCTTAAAGAAGACCAGCACCAATACGGAGGCAAATAATAAAAGCAGGGAGGCAAATGCAAGAGGCCATACAAAACCATAGCTTTTTATTATATAACCCTCTACGAATTCTGAAGAGGACAATCCTATACCAGCTGAGAGATAAAGGATAGCGAATGCCAACGATCGTGATTTACTCGCCCCAGTGGAATCTGCCACGGCCGCTGTCATATTGGCAAAGAAGTTGAAATGAGCGCCTCCAAGACCGGAAACTGCATATCCTATATACAAGTATGATAACGGCAAATCCAATGCGGCTACTAAAGCGGTCCATCCATAGAGAAAACCGTTAGCAATTAATGATATAAAAAGACAGTATTTGCGTCCAATAACGTCGGAATATATGCCCAATATTACTATTACAGGAACCGATATTGACAACTGCACCATAGAAAAATGCCAGTTAAGGTTGGTCGCCTCTGTCTGACTTTTGTCTTCGGCAAGAGATCCATTAATCTGTCCACACGTTACTGCAGATTTGTTGAGGGTATCTTTAGATAAATTATCGCTGATTCGTTTGTATAGGAACTGCGGTTTACACAACATAAACGTACTAAAACTTATAGCAAATAATATCATAACAATATTCCTCAGTACAAATCCTGACCATGTCGTTTGTTTGGATCCATTAAAAATCAAAGGACTTTTCTCACTGATGTCTTTGGTACAAGCGCTGGACTCCAGGATGTGTGGCAAGTTTTTTCCCGATTTGTTTTGCATTTTGCTGACAATGAACTTCCGATTTTGAGGTCCTTTGTAATGAATAAGGTTAAAAAGCGTTAGCTCAATTCATGCAGAATGAATAATTTCTTATAAATATGGATTATCCAATCACAGAATCTGACGAGAATGTCATTTTTAGACAGAAATGTTTCTTTCGTCAATTTGAGCTGAACAGAATCGGTTACCTCAATGCAGAATAAGTCCTTTTACGTTGAGACTCATCCAGTCCAAGTGGGTATGCACAGAAATTCCATTGATGAGAAGAAAAACTTCTGCCGTGTATCTGAGCTGAGGCAATTTGACAAATATGACCTACTTTCAGTATGATATCTTCTGCTCATGTGATTATATGATGTTTGGTATGATGCATTATTGGGATAAATATAGATGTTATCGCGTGATCAATGTCAACAAATAACCCTAGTTTAGGTAGCCGACTTAGATACAAGTGGTAGCGCTATTACAATCATAGCAAACGTTAAATAGTTTGTTATTGTGGCTGGAAAGGGACGTTTGAACAAACATATATAATACAAACGCAATATTATAACGAAGGGAACGAACTATGTTTGCGTTCGAAAGCAATATCACTGCGAGGGACAGTAATACGTATACGCAATTTCGTTGCAAGAACATAATATTACTGAGTTATTGAACGCAATAATTCATTTTCCTAATGCCTTTTCCCAGCCATCGATTGTTTTGATTTATTGTGATAAAACTAATATCTAAATCTTTTACAGACATATATTCATTTGACACAAGCAAATATGTATTCACTTGAAGAATACAGACTAGAAATGAGCTGGGCTCCAATTTTTAATTATTTTAATTATTAATAAATCGCTGTAGAAATCTTTTACTTATGTATATTTGACAATGTATACGGTAGTATGTAGAAATGCAATTGGCAAAGAACATATGATATGCATAATCATCATTTTCGATGGAGCAAAGTGTCATGAAGGTATATGGTGCACGTTAGCACTCCATAATGCATATGTTAGTTGCCAACTGTGTTAATCCTTCAAAACTCAGGTCACTCCTTATATTTACATCATAAATAATGGTTCAATGCTACACGAAGAAAAAACAATTGAACCGGGTTGTTACGATGGTAACTGCGGTAGGGGTGGTTGCTAGGCTTATGTAGTTCAGAGTAATTCATCTATGCAGCCCTTTGAATTTGTTTATTGATGCATTAAAGTCTTTGTGTACACGCGTTGACACACTGCTCTGTTAGTGACGCGTGCGAATCCTGCAGGACGAAGCCGCCATTGTTAAGCTTACTGCAAATTTAAAAATTAAATTTGCACCCATGGAATACGTTTGTCAGCATCCCTCTACTGTATATAAAGACCTATTAGATCCCGAATATGTTTCTAGAGGCTGAAGAAACCTAACACTGGTTGTCATCAGCGCTTAATCTCGCTTAATCATGAACGGCACAATATCTGAATCAAATCAATCAAAAGCTGAAGAAGAGTGATGTAAATATCTGATTTTATTTGTATTTTGTTATTCATTTAAGATAATAATGCTAAACTGAGTCAACTTCTTCTGTATTACTCCCGTCATTGTTTGTTATGACTGGTGCTTTGCTGTTCATTAAATCAACAGTATCTGGGCATGGGGTGTCACTTCCTCTTGAGTTCATCGAAGGTCCAGTGTCTCCTTGTATAAAGAGAGGGGTGGACCCCAGTGTCGACGTCATACACGAGCAGATACTGAAATAGGTAAACAGTTATTAAGACAATTGATCAGATCAAAAATATCGAAATTAAGTTAAAATTAGGTACCACGTTACAAATAATGAAACACTATCGGAGAGAGTCAAAGACAGAACAATATGTATCCAATGTTAGTCATTGTTTTCTTTAAGATTGGTTTTTAAGCTATTATCTAGTCAACCAGTCTTTCGTTTCTGTTAGATCTCATTGAATTCAAAAATATAAAACCCTATTTTGACAACACTTTATGGTGCTCCGGGTAAAGTTTCATGTATAACCACAATAAAAGTTTATGATAGTCGGTGTACTCAATTATTAACATTTATTTAACTTACACATTCTACACAGCGTCCTATTGAATATAATTTGTATCACAACTAGCTCCATATTGATTTGGGTAGACTGGCTTTCACTCTCTAGTATTATGTTCTTGTTTAGGAACAAGACAGATCTAAGATGTGTTAATCACAAGACGCTATGGTTAAGAGTATGAAGACTTGCGCAGGTCAATAAATAGAAAGAAAACATTAAGTGATAATCATAAAGACTGACAACCCGTCTAGGAATAAGGATGAGTTTGATTGTCTGTTTATTACATTGGCTGACACTGATATGAACAGGCGCGTCATGTCAAAGTTTGTTTAGAAAAATTAAAGAAAGAAAAAAAGAAAACAAAAGAGAATACAAATCAAAAACACAAATCAAAAAGAAAACCCTAAACGGAGAATGCAACCATGTTAGGTTTTGTTGTAAAGTGACAACGTTATCATATTGGTCTTTGTGACGTCACATGTTTTGATATACTGTTGTTTTACTGTGCAACTTTCGCTGCACTTTCGCAATTCAATATTGGTTGAAAACGATTTTTTTCCGACGAAGAGCGGAAAGAGTGGGCGATAATTTCTCTGTATACAGTATTATACTGAATACTATTTTAGATAACGATGAAATTGCGTTTAATAGCCACACGACTTCACGTTTTAGATTAACTTCTACTTACATTAACAGAAACACTGATAGGAGGTAAAACCCCGCCATGACTAGGAATACAAGACCTTTCATGATGCTTTGTGTTTCGGCATAAATGTTGTTGAAAATACTACTTCCACCCAAACTACACAGAATTTCGAATATGTAGATGTTGGCAAACAGAGCACCTGAAATAACAACAGGTATGACATACAGTAATTAGTGTGCTTTATTCGTAAATATAAATACTAGTAATTCTTTGTAATTCTGAAAGTATTTGTGTCGTTAACGTTTAGCAGTGATGTGCAAATATTATAGTTGCCTTTTCATAGATCTTGAAAAATATCTGTAAGATCTATGAGAATTCATAATCAAATAACAATCATACAATTTGCGTTTATTATACGCAATACTCGCTTGAATAATTTAAAAATATATCAGATTATTTCAATCAAACGCAAAGTATGATCTTCGGAGGGAATCAATGCGTTGCAAGGGTATCAGTATCAGTAGGGTGTTATTTGAGCACTATGCTGTTTTCCAATGCATTTCAATTGTATATATATATATTTATTGTGTCCTACACGCACAGATAACGACGATACAATCATATCCGTTACACCTCACCTTGTTTGTCTGACAAAACTGCTTTTGAAAAAATTCCCCTTATCAAAGGTATCGGAACTATACACATGACGCCAAGCGCTGTAGCTGGAAAAAAGAGCGTGTTCCATATTTGTTTGATAATGAGGAAAATAGATAAATTAAGAACAACGGTTATTAGAAATTTTATCCATGTGGAAGCGATGAGGTAATTGCTTTGAAAAGGCATCTAAATACCAAACGCAAACAAACCGATCGGTTGGTTCGGATGAAAAACCTGATTTTTTAAGCTATTTTGAAAGTTAATTAAAAAAAGAAAAATCTTTGGCTTCTTCAAATGTATATTTTTGTAAACGGTGTTGTTATCCTCAAAATAATTTTTCGTAGATTAAATATTAATTGTTTATTGCGGACTAATTTCTAATGCGGATCATATTTGCGTGAGTACTGTTCCTGGCGCAAACAGATGTTCGTTATTGAGAAAATAATTTCCAAATGGGCAAATGCATTTTCAAGTTGTTCTCAAGTCGTTTTGTCATACGGACAACCAATACTAATGAATGAGTCATGCTACTGGTAGTAGGCATATAGAAGAATACAGATGATAAAAACCGTTATCAACCGGAAAACCAATAACTGACAAGAGAAAGTGTGTCCGTTCATTTCTGTCACATGCATTTCTTTGAATCTTTTACATATACAATATTACATTTCGTTTTATAATTGACTTACCTAGGTACATCATCCAATCGTTTGAAGCAAATGCCATCAACACTAATGACGCAATACCAGAAATACATCTTATGATGCAAATTATTTCATCGGTTGTGCAGACATGTAAAAGCTTGATAACCATAACTCCAATGAACATTTGTACGAAGTCTTTGACGGCACGGTAATATCCAATTTTCACTGATGACCAACAGAATGGAAAATTTAAGGAATATAGAATCTCAATATCACTCCTAGGGCTAAAAGCAGAATAAACACAAAGAAAAACAACTGCAGTTGTTAAGAAGATAGAAAGTGGCATATTTCGTCTTTGTTCTTTATGAGTATAGAAACCAGTTATTCGTTTGATAGCATCACAAATATTCCAGGACATTCTAGGTTTAAATGAGTTGGTTCCTTGTCTATTTTGACGAGTTTCTTTATAAAGAAAGATAATAGATAGCAAAATTAATATGAATAATCCAGCAACGATCATATTTATATAGACAAACCCTGTTATATGTATCACGTATCCGGCAGTAATTTGTCCTACTAAAGCACTCAAACCTATAACAGCATCAAGTAATGCAATGCTGAAGGATCTTTGTTTGCCTCTAGCTGTTGTATCTGCAATTGCAGCTAAGGTTCCGAGATAGAACGAAAAATAAGTTCCTCCTAAACCACAAATAGCATAAGAAATAAATAGGTAGGTGATATGAAAATCTTTGTAAATCAAAAATGATATCAATCCGTATTTGATTGCTTCCACAAGAATTCCAGCGATCATCAAAGGCTTCCGACCAATTAGATCCGAATATATTCCAAAAAATGCAAGAACCGGAAGTGCTATCCCCTTTTCGGTCAACGTGAAATAAAGTGAAAAACGAGCTGCAAGTCTTTGGTATTCGTTCTCTGCATCAGAGGATGAATTTTTAGCACATTGTTGTGGGGTGTTTCCTGATGAAGTTGCATTTGATCCAAGGATTATGTCTGGCAGGATCGTGTTTAAGGACACCCACTTGTAAATATACTGGGCTTTACTTACACTACCAAGAGAGACTGCTAATGCTACCAAAATAATGTTTACATTTCGTATACTGACGTCATAAGTAGAGATATCAGTATGTGATTCTTCGTTTTTCTTATGCTCATTCTGAAGGATTCCTTTTCTGCTTCTAGAAAGAAGAGCACTGTTTTCGCTGACGTCCATCGCTAGGGAAATATTCAGAAATGTTTATCTTGTTCAGTGAGTAATCATCAGATGATACGACTTGACCTAATATCCGTGTGCATAGTTTGTACAGATTAGAAACACTACAATAAGTACGTTTGTACGTATGTCTGATACGACTAGAATACAAACACATATATTCGGTCATCTCTTTTGTTATATTATCGTGTTTAGTCTGCATTAAACCCAACAGCACACACAGGTTATACTCTGCTATGTTTTTTGTCGATAAAATAACAAACACTTAAATTGTCGAAAATGAGCATTTATTCTAAATGCCAGAAATCGAACATATGTATACATCTTTGTGTTGATTTTTATAATAAGGTGTACAAAGAACCAAAAAAGATGGGGCTTGCTTCAAAATAAACGCACCATTTGTAATTAAAAGATGTACAACAAATGAAACAAAATTTAAAACAAAGATGTGCAACAATTACATTTTTACACAATAGTACATAAAGGTGGATACAAATTAGGGGAGGAGGAGGGTAGCTGATTTTTAAGGAGATTTTTCAAAATGTCAGCATGGAAAAATGTTCTGCACAGGTCACGTGACTTTAGTACACCAAAACATCACGTGACTACTTCTATAGGGATGGACTAGTTTCAAAAACGGAAAGTTATCCTCCATCCGGAACCAACAAAATATAACAAATAAAAATATCATATACTAACCAGATAATATAAATTACTTTATGCATTGCATAAATACAATTATATTATCGTGTTTAGTCTGCATTAAACCCAACAGCACACACAGGTTATACTCTGCTATGTTTTTTGTCGATAAAATAACAAACACTTAAATTGTCGAAAATGAGCATTTATTCTAAATGCCAGAAATCGAACATATGTATACATCTTTGTGTTGATTTTTATAATAAGGTGTACAAAGAACCAAAAAAGATGGGGCTTGCTTCAAAATAAACGCCACAAACTTGAACTTAAATATTACCATATTTCTGTTCAAGTGCCCCACTCCAGAGAAACCTGTGTATGTTATAATATACCAATATCGCACCATGCAAAATATTGTTTCACTATTTACAAAAGCATATAAGATATATCAAACAATCAGAAAAAGACATGGCACCATATGCTTATTAGCATTTCTGACAGTTACTGGCAGCTGTCACAGACAGAAACTTGCCTTGTTATGATTCCAACGTTAACCAAGCTATCAGAAAAAACACTTCTCCATGTTGTTTAAGTCTGCTACCAGCAGACACCTTTATCTGATAAGTGTTATACATGTATCATACTGCTTCATGCTGCCTCAGACAGTCAAGTCACAATATAATATATAGGTATAACCATGTCACACTCTATATGTTAAACAAAAATTACATGGATGTATGTATATGTATATATAAATAACATGTCTTTTAAATGCCAACATAAGTATAGGAAAAATGAAGGAAAAATAATAATATCTGTAACAATTTTACTCATTACCAGATAAACTTGTTTCGTGCTGCCTCAGACAGTCATTCATCAAGTTTTCCAGGCCAATTGTCACCCTTGAACTTTGGGAATACTCAGCAATGTTACATATTTTACCTTCAGAAAGACGCAACAAATTAGGATCAATTTTGTCCATCACATATAATGCTGTGCATGACATTAACACAATGAAATGCTTTATACCACCTCAGACAGTTAATCCACAATTTCATTCTTAAATGTACATTTAAATTGAATACAATGAGTTGCAACAATGTTCCGTGCTGCCTCAGAGAGTCACTTCCAATGATGCTATAAACAGTTATTAGTGTTCATAATTTTGAGCATTGGGTAATGGCTATCAAGACCCTTAACATGTCAACCTTGTCCAACCTGACACCACCTAACAGTATGCTGTCTCAGACAGTCTAACAGGCATGATTTCAAAACATAAATTTTGCTTTCAAATATGTAGCAACTGGTATGGGACCCAGGTAGGTAACTTTTCCATGCCTTTGGCTAGTGCCCTGAACCGTTCTACCTGTAAATGTGATAGCAAATCAGGTAAAACGTTTAGCCTACCAGGATTGTGTTCAGCTTTGAACATAACGTTGTGTTGCATACACACCAAATCAATCTCCTAACCAGGAACATAATGGAATGATACTTTGAAGACAGTTTTGTTATTCGAATGAAACAAAATGCATTTGTTCGATAACTTTTTTCCCCACATCTCCATGGCCAAGATTATTGGGAACAACTCTTTAAGAGTTATACTATGTTGTTCTAATTACCCACACTCAAACCATTTTCCATAAAACCAGTATATTCCGAATATATACTGCCCCATAGCCTAACGATACAGATGGATCTGTATACATTTGGAGTTCAGCAGAATCCTACCAGGTCTCATCCAAGAATATGGATTTTCTTGTACATACATTTGTATGCATTCAATCCATTGGAGAGCTGTACTGACTTTTTCAAAAATAGAACAGGAAATTGAGCAACCCATGGGCAAACATTTATCATAAAAGTATAATCCCTAAAAATATATTCCTAGCAGGTTATGCTCCAACAGATGTATAGGAACGATCCTAAATGCTGAAGCTATATCTGTTTTAGCTAGCAAACAACCTTGACCTAGTTTTTTAATGAGACTCACCGCATCGTCTACCGTATCATATGATACTGAACAACATTCGTCAGGGATGTAATCATTAACAGAGGATCCCCCTGGATAAGACAAGTGGAGAATTATTCCGTATTCCCCTCCCTGGTTCTTTTTTTGGGGTAATAAACCAATTGGGGAACATTGCATGAACTGAAAAGGTGGGTTATGGAAAGGACCCACTATCTTCCACAATGAAATGTCCTTGTTCAAGTTTTGTGATACCAGTTCCTCATTCTGAAAAGCGGAAACTAAATTACGACTGACTCGAAATTGTTGAGGCCTTTCAAAACTAATGCGAAAACCCTCTGAAAACCCAGCTACCAACACTTCTGAAAGCTCTTTATCGTATGTCTACCTGCACAGGTGTAACAAGTTCGGTGGGGACACTAGTTTTGTTTAATTTTGATGCCTGCTGGTTTTTGGTTTGATGTTTGTGGTAGGGGTTAACGTTGTTTTTCCTGAATGTGCTGCCTGGTGAGCAGTTGAGTACTGAATGGGACTGGCCACACTGAAAACATGTGTGTTGGAATGGACAGGATTGTACTGTACACTTCCCTCTAATGTGCAACACGAAGCAATGACCGATGGGTATTTGTCTATGCTTTGCTCTGAACCCCCCGGTAGGTCCCGAAAGGGCTGATCATTCTGGTGATGGCTATGCTGCTTTGGAGTGTATGCCATTACCCAATTCTCAGTATGGAAAACCCCCAAGGTATGGACCTGACCTCTCCATCCCTTCTACCTTACTGGTCATAATCCAGCCATGTTGTCCCTGTTCTCCTAGCCGCCATGTCGCGAACTACTTCCCCATGTTTTAACACCAGTGGGATTTCTTTAGGATTTTTTTCTGAATAAATGGCGACAAATCTTATGAAAGCAGTTGTCCATTGCTCAATTGTATTAAGTGCTCTCTTTTGTATGGTCTTGGTGACCCGAAATTGTGACCGGCCAGCACTCTGGAGCTGAATTCGAAATGTAGTGTTTCCATTGCGTAACTTTTGGCTTGGCAACAATTTTGCAAAATCAACATATATGTTTTGCCATATCTTGTTTTTGATTTTTGTATCTACTTGACTAGCGATTGGACATGGCAATAGACCAGGAGAACAGAGATTTAGCTCATTATCATAATCACTTTCAGAGTCAGAGTCACTGTAACTACTGCTGCTGCTGGTATCTGTGCTATCATCCTCATCTGAAGTTGATCATGAGGATGTAGGTGAATGGGGAAACCCTTCACCTCCTTTTCGTTTTGTTACCAGTCTCTTTCTTTCTTGTCACTTTGTTGGGTGAAGGCATAGCTGTCTGACTCAACTTCTTTGGCAGCGTTGTCTTCACCATCTGTAAATATATCAATAATCTCTGTATATGTATGATCAGTTAACTGATAAACCAAAGTATGCAACACCGTTGCACTGTAACACCGTTACGATCAAATACAAATGATACCACCATAATGCAACACCGTTGCACTGTAACACCGTTACAATCAAATACAAATGATACCATCATAATGCAACACTGTTGCACTGTAACACCGTTACAATCAAATACAAATGATACCACCATAATGCAACACCGTTGCACTGTAATACTGCTACAAACAAATATAAATGATACCACCATAATACAACACCGTTGCACTGTAACACTGTTACAATCAAATATAAATGGCACCACCATAATGCAACACCGTTACACTCTCCTATAAATGATACCACCATAATGCAACACCGTTGCACTGTAACACCGTTACATTCACCAATAAATGATACCACCAAAATGCAACACTGTTGCACTGTAACACTGTTACATTCACATATAAATGATACCACCATAATACAACACCGTTGCACTGTAACACTGTTACAATCAAATATAAATGGCACCACCATAATGCAACACCGTTACACTCTCCTATAAATGATACCACCATAATGCAACACCGTTGCACTGTAACACCGTTACATTCACCAATAAATGATACCACCAAAATGCAACACTGTTGCACTGTAACACTGTTACATTCACATATAAATGATACCACCATAATACAACACCGTTGCACTGTAACACTGTTACAATCAAATATAAATGGCACCACCATAATGCAACACCGTTACACTCTCCTATAAATGATACCACCATAATGCAACACCGTTGCACTGTAACACCGTTACATTCACCAATAAATGATACCACCAAAATGCAACACTGTTGCACTGTAACACTGTTACATTCACATATAAATGATACCACCATAA